GTATTGCACACAGTTTCCGGTAAACTACTATTCACCATTTTCCAGAATATCATTACTAAATTCATTTTTCTATACCAAATTGAATAAAAATTAATAAAAATTTAAATTATAAAATATAAGTACAATAATTGCTATCTTAGTATAATTGGTATCAGGTAGGTACACTCGTAGGTACTATACAGCTGGAAAACAGACTGTAATGCATAGCTATGGAAACAAATTGTAATTTTTAATATTTCAGGTGTACCCAGAAAAATATTAATTACATTTTATTAAAACTGAACAAAACAAAATAATATTTACGTAGTATTATAGGTATTTTAATATTACACCTGCCAATAATTAGGAATATAGCAACAATTATATTGGTTGTTTGAATGAAATGAAACGATTACAAAATAAATCGTTACTCGTAAAACGGTAAGGTAATTTATATTTATTACTTCCCGATAAATTGACTAAATTTACTTTACCAGAATAATATTACCGATTTACATCACCTACACCTACATAGTATGTATAGTATAAAGACTGCGCCACACATATAGCAGTTTAAACGTCACCGCGTTGCTTATATACGTACCTATATACAGATTCCCATAAAGTATACTGAACGTATACACCGTATACTCTCAACGTTTTGTTGAAAAATCACGGTTATGCAGCGTACACTCTCAAAAAGTTTTTTAAAAGAAAAGAAATCCGTTATTATATACATTATTATATCGCGACCTGCGATTAAAACCACCGCATTGTATAATATTACGCCATTAAAACCGAAACGGTAATAAAAATTGTATTTATTTCAGTGATCATAATAATTGAAAAAATTTCAAAATTTTCTCACTACGCACAGTACTTTATTTTTAAAAATATCAAATGTTTTGTGTTTTAACAATTTCAATTTGTTTGTTTTTTTTCGTAATTATTTCCCTACGGAAAGAACAATGATACCGAATCGGATGTCGCGGTACACTCTCAGTCTCGGCAAAAAAATAACGGGAACACCGCTACGCACATAATGTGCATGGAAGGTTTATTAATCGCCGCGCGGTTTCGATCCCCGAAATATTATCCGGTCGACGTAACGCCGTTGAAATCCGACAGGGAGCGCACCGTGTACACGGGATCGGGCCACGGCGCGCGGCCATTGGCCGGACCGACCGACAATCGCGCGAGTTCTCGTCGCGCCGGGCGGGCCGACACACTACGCCCAGCGCACCGCCTACGCGGGACCGGATCGCCGTGTATATTTTTTTTTTTTTTATATTATTTATCGAATTCATCCGCGTGCGCGCGCGGTCCCGTAACACATGTATCCGTGCGTGTTGTATTTCATTGAGCCCGCAGACGGGATCGCGTATAATATTTACGTTGTATAAACGACTAATGTGGTGTTCCCGTCGATTTTCTCGGGAGTATGCCTATGCCTACGCCGCAGTGTACGCCCGTGCCCGACATTTTGTACATTTCGTGTGGTTCGTATAGTAAATATTATAGTTACCGATTTCACAAAAATCAATCTGTCCAAATAAACACTCGAAATATCGTGACAAAAAGACCCGGATACTGGAAACGGGCGCGCGGACCACTGTTGTAGATGGGAAGTCGGGAAGGCGCGATACATAATGTCATTTAATTTATACCCGTGACCGGTGACAAACCGTTGCTAACGAAAAACGATTCGGAGCGAAGTTTTCGGTTACACCTGTACGATAGTTTCGAGAGGCCGTAATATTTAAGATTTTCGTCAAAATTTTATTTTGAAACTATAATATATATAAAAAAAAAAAAAAAAAAAAAATACTACATTAAATTCAATAAACTCTTTTTTGACCACCAAGTACGACACACAATGTCAAATTGTCAAGCCTTTCACTTTAGCTAAACAATTTTATTCATTTACAGAGTAAGTACCTATATAAATATATAATACGGCTATCAAGTAAATATTCGCAACATAAAAATGTCTATAAATGGCTCTGTAAATGTTTTGAAAATTTTACCGCATCTAGAAAAATCAAATATATACGTTTTCCGTTAAAAGTCTGTACGAATATGTTTAGCTGGATTATCAAAAAAAAAAAAAATAAAATTCGAAATTTAAAATACCTATAGTAAAAGAATTATTTTCGTAAATGTTCTCGTTTTTTCTACGTATTTTTTGGTTTTGCTCAGTCATAAAAAAAAAAAAAATACAAAAAATAAAATAAAAAAACGGCTTTCTTGATCACCAACTAGATTAAAAATTCAACAAAAAGGTTCTGACGTTGGATCTATTGGAGCAATATTTACGGTAGAAAAGCCGTGAAAATGTAAAATAATGTAATCGTAACGCCGTGTAATACTGCATGGGGTATGTAACCGCGGTAATGTTGACAATTCCTAATACACGGTTGAGAATTAACGATTTCGTCCACGGTATAGTGTAGGCGCGCACAGGTACCACGCTCATTTCACTCCCGTGCATATTACACATAGTTTATCAGGCAATCCGTTATCGTAACCCGCAGTCTGCCTACTGTATAACAATACCTACCCGTGTATTATAGTTATAATATAACTATTATACTGCTGTTGTTACGTCGGCCGTCCACAAGAACTGCAGTCAAAAAAAAATCCGCATGCCGAATCAAATAATCGCTCGATCCGGCTTCTGTTTCGGGACCGGTGAGCTGAACGATTGACGCGGTGACGATCGTAATTATTTTGAAATTATTATTGTAAGCAAAACCATTCAAAGTTTTTATAAACGACTGAAAACAACAATAACAATTTGTTTCACTCAAAATGTTCGTTGAGGTTATGGAAAAAAAAAAAAAAAAAAAAACGTGCGATATTATTTTGTATATACCTATTATGGAAATATAAAAATATCATGTCCCGCAGTGTCGAATGTTCCGGCGTAGCCCTATACAGTAATGATAACAATAAGTGTACAGAGACCAATTGGTCCCGATAAGACTATATAATTATTGAGTTTTAATAGTCCGTTCTTAAGGTTATAAAATGTTCAAGCGCCTCTAAGTTCTCGTTTCTCTTGCGGAGGATCCCTGAAAAAATGCCGGTGCCTAGCCGTCCCCTCTGGCCACAAAAACGAAACACGCCTGTATACGATTTGCACATCGCACTAAATCCATCACGATCGTCGTGTGCGTTTTCATACGGTTATTATGTTCAATGTATTATTTAATTATTGATTATTCATTACTATTGTTGTACACGGTTATCGTTCAACGCGAATGCATTTTCGATCCGATTGTACAGTTTGTTTTCGACGGATATTAACATGGTTCACGACAATAATTTTTTAAAATAGAACACGGGCGTGCGTATAAATTAACGATACCCAAAACACGCAACGGTATGTTATGATGTTATGATGATCCGAACACGCGGATGTATAGAGAATTGATTTGATAACACGTGCGGTTTGAACAAGTGCGGCGTTCCGATGAATGTTCACACGTTTTATCCGTCGGGTTACCGCAGCCGTTAACGGGATCCGTTGAATCATTTTTACCGCCCCACCCAAGTGTTCAGCTGGCGAAACAGGTCTCTTTTATTACGCATTCGCGTCATTATAATTGTGTACTGCACGTCCGCGTGTACACTGCAACGCGTAACATAATTCGTAAAGGTACTTGAAATAACAGACATTGTCCTTTTTTTTTTTTATACAATTTGACCGTACGAGATTATAAATATGTACCGAAAATACGCCGGTCGGGTCGTCGGTGTCGCAATCCGTTATCAATTATAATTACCGCGGGATTTTCAATTTTACAGTTTTCGCAACGCACACAAATCGTGAACGTTACCGCGCGCGTTTTTCGCCTGTCGATTCTACAGAAATGAAAGTACCTACGCTTTTGCCGTTTTGTTTCATTGCTATTGTACATATATCGTACGCGAGTGAATGTTCGTAAACCACTGAAACGCATAGACAACGTGTATGGGCATTGTATATCGCACACGGGCGGTCGAGTGTGTTGTTCAAATTGAAATCAATAATCTAGCATACATTATTTGCGTTGGCTGCAAATAACTGAAACGGTGAAATGACCGAAAACTTACTTCCCTCTGCAGGCTGTGAATAAAATCACTACGAGAAAAATAATGTGGTGTGACTTTTATATTCCGCGTTTATTGAACTGTTCGATATGAAATTCTGTAACTGATGCTGAAACTCACCGCGACCCGCAACTGACTTTTTGCCGATATATAAACGCGCCCGCCCTACCCGCTGCTGTTTAGTCGAATATTTCCTTGGATGTATCGATTTCAAAAAAAATCCTCACATCATGATGCAGAGATTTAAAGTGGCCATCACCGTGTTTCAAATTCAAAATATATTAATACCTATTGTATTTTAATATTTCCCTTTAAAAATACAATACTTATTATTATAAATCATCATATAAAATTACGATTTTGGCACCCCGGGCAGTTTCGCCCCTTCGCCACCCTTATAGCTACGCCTCGTGGAAACAATGTCTGTATAGTTCCTTTCCTTTAACAATGCTATTTTTTCTCCACACAATTTAATTCGGAATTCCTATATAATTCCGACCGGTATTGGGTGGTCCGAACAAAACACGCACACACACGTCCTAACCCTCGTATAACGAATTTTTTGACGTCGTTGGGCCACATTGTGTGCACCGCCACACCGGGGGCGTCCCTCTCTCGACGGCGTGATTTATTGCATTCAGTACGCGCGCAGGGGACCGACGAAATGCGTGTAGCCGTGTGCGTGTGTGTGTATTCATTGTGCAATACGTTCTCCCCTCCGGAACCGTCGGGAGCGACGTTGTCGGATCACCGAGCGCAGCCGTTTCCGCCGATCAATGGCACGGATTTCCGGCCCCCGTTGGCGACACTGGATGGGTCCGTCCGGCTGAGCAGGCTGCACGTCTCGCACTGCGCCGTTATCTTTTATCCGATGATATAATATTGTCCAAATTGTGATAGCAGAGGATGCGATAAAAAAACATTATCTCAAAACAGTTTTCTCCTTTATTTGTCGGTACGAATTTTCTGCCCGGCCGCACTGCACAACCTCGTGCGTTAACAGATTACGTTTTATCACTACTAACTCTAAGTGTTCCGAAATTGATAATCGCTATTTGCTACACGTCCGCCAGAGGCTATTTAAACGTAGGTAACAATATTTAAAATTTAAATAGTTTTTGCCACCTGATAATCCAAAGGAAAAATCATGGTCAAATCGGGGCTTAGGAAGTTCACCAAAAAAGAAAAGTCTAAGGTTAAATTAAAAGTGTCGCACAAAACACTCTTGCCCAAAGGACAAAATGTGACCGATACGAATTTCAAAGTACGCAAGATCGTGTTGCCCGGTCAGCTCAAAGAACGCGGTGAACACGAGATACTGTCCAAAGGCAATTTAAATATCAAGGTATTCAGTTGAAATTTTGAATTTATAAATTGAAATGCTAACGTAGGCACATAATTCTTGCAGGAACTACTGTCTAGGTTGGGTCACCATAATATGTGGCAGAGACAATCGGGATTGGAAGGTCTTATCGATTTGGTAGCTTCTTACCCTCCACAATCTATGGCTGTTCACTTGTCGTCTTTCTTAGAAGCGGCATCACGTATGACACTAGACGGTGAAGCAGACATACGTAAACTAGCTGTAAAACTACTAACATCTATACTGACTGCCGTAAATGAAGATCTGATAGCTCCTTCTTTTGAGATTGTTATACGGTATTTGGCTTGTGCTATGAGTCATATTAATTCTGCTGTCAGGGAGACGTCTCTTAGTGTGTTAGATGTCCTCATAACCAAGAGTCCCAAACTCACAGCTGTCCACTGTCAGGTATTACATTTTATTTTCCTTTAATTCATGAATTTAAACTAATCAAATTGTTCTCGTATGATTTAGACCGTAGTGTTGCCAGGATTTTTAGATTTAATATCTTCAAAACTAAGTGACACAAACTCTCGTAAACTTACTGTTCAAATCAACGAAAATATTTCCACAAGTGTTTGGCGATTAAAAGTATTGAATAGTCTGCGTTCTTTGTTAAGTGCTGTCATTGAAAATACTATGCTAGGATTTAAAAGTAAGCAATTCTGTAAATTTATAGTTGACAAATTGTTTACAATTTATTACATTACTTATACCTATTAGGTATAATTATATATTAGAAATAATATTTTTTACAGAATTAGTATTATTTAATTTCTGTGTGTCAACGCTTGAATAGAAGTGTAATATTTTAACTTAATATAACCACTATTGACTGTGAAAAATCATTTTTGATTAAAAATATTTCACTCTTTAAATCCAAGTTTACTGAAACTAAAATCTACTGTTTGACTCATTTTTTTTACAGCCTCTGATCAGAATAAAACCGTACATTGGAAGGATTCGTGTCGTTTATATGTTCCATTATATAATGCTACAAGTTTAGAGGCAGGTCCTTTAGATTTCAATATTTTTATGAAAAATGAAATGAAATCATCAACAACTGAAATACAAGTTGGTCAAAATAATACAAATAACTTTGCATTTTAATAAATCATAATTATGTTATGTCTGTTTAAAAATAATTTAAATGTTTATCTATCAATCAATAGAAACACATTTTAGAAATCAATTACATTACTTAACAAATATCTTTGATTATCATGCTAATTAATGTATTTTTATTATAGAATTATACAGCCTCACTAATGCCGCTTTTGTTTGATACATTCATTGAAGTGGCTCCCAGTAAACGAGAACATAAAAACAGTTCGGAAATTCCATTACAATCTGCATCAATATTAAAATGCATTTTAGACATTATTCTGTTGTTGTGGAAAATTTTTCAACATTCTGACAATCCTTCAGAAATGGTGTGTAAATAATATACTATACAAAATGAATTTAAAACTTTTAACCACAAACATGTGTAACAGTTTATTTTACATTTTATACTATTTATAAACTTGATATGTGTTTTAACAATATTGTTATGGTTTGATTTCATTTTTCAGATGAGTTCGTTCAGTGAAAATTATGGTGTCAAAATATGTCAAACATTTCTATCATCAGGTTTTCCGTATGTGACACTCAACAGTGGTGGTGGTACTTCAAATAAAACTAAAAAGAATAAAACTGACACAGATGTAATCTTAGATTTATTTGGTGATAGTATTACACAATCTGATGGAAAATGTTCAAAACAAAATATGGACTTATGTCTTATATATTTTTTACTTAGTAAATATAAGAAATTACCCATACCAGTCAAAACTATATCTGCATATTTAAACGGTACATTCTACAATACAAATAAGCTACAATGTAGTTATTATAATAATTGCAATAATTTTAATTTTCCATAATTTTTAGATTGTTTATGTTCATATAAATCAATTGATCATCAATCATTTGTTATCTTAATGCGATGTCTTGAAACTGTGTCAGATAACAATGAAGTAATCAAATCTAAAGATTCGTTTGACCTAAATTCTGTTGTAGAAAAATTAGTTGATATTCATAATGAAATGGTAGCTACTGATACCCGTCATCGACATGAAAAAACTAAATTAGTGTTCAATTACTTGTGTACAATTGCATCTAAACCTCATTTGAAAATTGCCGATCAGTAAGTTAAAAAGATTTGATAATAATTATTTTGTTTACTCACCAAGTCAGTTAATAGTATTATAAATGAATGAATTTGTTACATTTTCTTTCAGGGTTGAAGAATTTAGTAGTTGGTTGACTTTATTACCAGAATTCTTGTGCCAACGCAAAGTACCATATTATTTAGTGAAAGCTCTATCAAATGTAGCGAGATATAATTTACCACAATTTACTAAATCACTGTATATACTTAAGCCAGCAATATTGGGTAAGCATTTCAAAATTTAATGTGTACCAATACTTTTTCTCTCTCTCTCTTTCTCTTGGTTACAAACCTAAGATTGGTTTGCAGACAATTTTCATTTGCACATATGAATCACATCCTTGGTTCCTTATTAATTGTTGAATATACTCTAATCTTGGCCTTCCTCTATGATTTCTTCCTTCCACACATCCTTCTATAATTAATTTTAATAATCCTACATGCCGAATTGTATATCCTATACATTCATTCTGTCTTTTTACTATACTTTTTCATAGTAGCTTTTCTTCTGACATTCTTTCAAGAACCTTGTTAGTTATTTTGTCCATCCAGCTTATTTTTTTCATCCTTCTATAGCCCCACATTTCATATGCTTCCAGTCTTCTTTCTTTTTCCACCGATATCGTCCAGGTCTCACTTATATAGGTTACAGAGGTCTCTTCTCTGCATCCTTTATTCCCACTCTACTCAGCATGTTGAACATTACTGTCCAGTCTACCTTATCAAACGTTTTTTTGATATCCACAAAGGCTATGAAAAATTGAAATGAAATGAATCTTTTCTAATTCTTTTCTGAATGACTTCTTAATTCCAATATTACTTCCCTCATTCCCATATTTTTTCTGAACCCAAATTAGTCTTTTGACAGCAACTGTTCTATTTTGGCTTCAATACGTTGGAATATGATTTTTGTTAATACCTTTGAGGCATGCGATAGCAAGATATTGGTACGGAATTATTCACATTTTTTTGCTGCTGCTTTCTTTAGAATGGGTATATTTAATATTTTCATAATCCTAAGGTAACTCCTCTGTATCATAAATATATTTGATAATTTAAAATAATTTGTTTTGATCTTTTTTTCCAAACTCCCTCCAAAGTTCTGCTTGTATTCCATCAACACTTACTATTTTTTATTCTTTAGATTTAGTATGTGCTATTACTATATACATAAATACATGTTTTTTAGAAAATGTTGATATTGTACCGGACAACAAAGCTGACAAGATGAACGGTCAAACATTATTGAAAGATATGATGTATACACAATTAGATTGGGAAAAAGAAATTGGACTTGTTGGATAGAGCATTATCTTGTGAAAATGTATACAATATGTTAGTTTTTTTATTGAAATTGCATGTAATATATGTGGAATATTTATTTTTAATTGATTGTATAATTTAATAGCAATGTTTTTATATAGATTTGAATGAAAAATATTCTTTAACTCTAGATTTCTGATACTTCTTTTCCATAGTCATTACTAAGTGCTAATTAAAATTACAATTCTTTTAGCATTCTTCTTATATAAGTTCCTATTTCTTTTGGACAATGGGTATTATATTCACAATGTTGTTCCTGTCCAGTGATGACCGAAATAAATCATTTGATGTTTTATTACACCAATTTTGAAGATTCTTCAACTAAGATGTTCATGTTCTTCATTCATTTACACTTCTTTTTCCTTCAATATTTCCTTGCATTACAAGCTGGAATATTTTGTATCATTGATTATTCCGCATGATGTATCTCATGTATTCTAGCTTCCGAGCTTTTATTGTTGTTAATAGTTTCTTTTCTTTCCCCAACCTTTTAAATACCCTTTGATTAGTAATAAGAGCTATCTATGTAATTTTTAACATTCATCTTTCTAACCACATTTTAAAAACCTTGATTTTTTGCATCTTAACTTTATTAGTGTCTAGATTTTCAATCCATATAATTATATATATATATATAAATATAATACAGAAAATACATAACATCTTAACAGTCTGAGTTTTATACTAAAAGACAGATTGTGGCGCTTGAATATTTTCAACATTTTTTCAAAATGCTTTACTAGCTCTTTCATTTCTACATTTTATTTCTACTAAATGATCTTAATCTTCATTTATTGTTGTTCTAAGGTAAATAAATTTATTAATTTGCTTTATACGTTGATTTTAAATTTTGAGTGGAATGAAGAAAATTATGGTTCTATAAAGATGTTTATTTTTTATTTTTTTTTTGTGGACAACTTTTCTACCATAAATTTTACTCAGATTAAAAATTATATCACTTTCTGAAAGGAAATCTAACTAGTATGGTACTTTAGAGAGATCATTTTTTGATTTTCTTAGGCATTTTCTCAATGTGTTAGAAAAACCGAAAAAAGGTTAGCAATGGTTTATCATTGCTTACAGGTATACATTAAATTTCAATTTATATCCTACCTTTTCAACTTCCCAACTACAAGAGTGGCTACACTCACGGGCGAAGTATGTCTGTCTTTTAAATTATTAAATGCCCTTCTATGTTATTATTATTAATTTTGTTTTCATTGTATTTAAGGTCAAGCCATATCACTTGCTCACTTCTATCACTATCCACTAAGTATTGTAATGTAACAATGTTAGGTACTTATTTGTAAAATCAACATATCATAACCTAATAATATTTAAAAAATTCCCAGTTTACTTATATTGCTATTTTCAATATTTTCTAGAACTTCATGAAAGACATACACCGAATATATATTAAATAACAGTGGTGATAAAACACAACACTCCTCACTTAATTAAAACATCCTCTGGGAGTTCTCCATCAATCAATGCACATTACTGCTATTTGATTCCAATACAGATTACTTATTATTCTCAAGTTTCCTTTATCCACTCCAAATCTAATTAGTAGTTCTATAAATTTGTCATGTTCTAACATTGAATTTACAAAAATAACACACTTTTCATTATTAGATACATTTTTATCTGAATACTTTTATTATGGTTCATTGAATTTTGAATCACCGTTTTGTTTTGATTCAATGTTTTTGAAAACTAACAAAATAACATGGTTTAAAAAATGGTCACTGTTTATAAGACAGGATATATTATAATTATTTAGTTTGCATACTATGTGCAACAATAATTCATTAGAACCAAAAACGATATTGAGTAAAGTTCTGTCAAATAGTTTTTATTAAATTCAAGTTAAAATTGTATTAATTTATAACTAATTAAAAATTACTACAATAGTTCATGTTTTTAACAAATAAATAACCTATCATAATAAGGAATAAATAATCTTTAAATAATAATTTTCAAATTGTATATTTGAAATGTTTTGAAAAAACGAAATTATAACAGCAGATTTTAGATATTATGAGTAATATTACTACAACTCAATAATATATGAGGTACCTTGTATCAAATTTTTGAGCATTTATACCAAACCAAAATGAAACTAAAAACCTCAAATACCATGTCTATGATAAAAATAAGAACAGAAAAAAAATAAAAATTGAAATTAACAAAAACTATAATTGTGTAGCTGTTTTGTTCTTTTAGGTTATTAATACACGTCTAATGAAAACCAAAATGCTTACTGGACAATATTTTCTAACAGAAATCATCACTGAAGTTGATAACTGGAGAAAAATTTTCCGGACAGAAAAAAATATTACTTAAACCTTCAATTTCCTCAGAGCCTAAAAAAAAGTACACTAAATTAATTTAATGAGAATTTAAATATGGATTAAGAATATTTATTGTATTTTGTTGATTTTAGATATTCACAATCAGTAAAATGTGAATATTGAACATTTTAAATATCTGCTGTAGAAACTTTAAGAGATCCAGAAATTAATTATAATTGTATGAAATTATAAATTGTCATCAGGAAATGAATTGGATTAAATTTTTTATATGTAATTACAATTTATTTAATGTTTTATCTACACTATGTGACATTTCAATAGGTTACTAATTAACATACAAAAATAATTATCTTGTTAGATTATAAATTAGGTAGGTATAATAATATTATATTATTTTTATACCATATGAGTCATATTAGTACATGATTAGCTTTGTATTATAAAAATTAATATTAATCACAGTAACCATATCAGTTTTGTATTTTTATAATTTGTATTAATGTTGAACTCTGCTATGTATAATAATTACATGATTTACATCTTTAAAATCACTATGAAGAAACTCTAAGTAGATACCTAATTTTAAAATTCACTCATGTATATTTTATAATATGATGTTTTTTTATTGTTACTTAGAACCCTAGTGATATGTTTCAACTTAAAAATGTTTAACACATGTTTCTAAGCGTTGAAACCTACTTGATGATAATTTAATGTAGATCTCATGATTATGAATCTGTATCAAGTGCCCGCCATTATTAGGTTTACATTCTTTAGCTGGTAGAGAAGCAGGTAAGTATTCATAACCAAATGTCTTCCTACGTAAACTTATTAATGGGTCTAATTATTGTCCCGAGTTACCTTCCAAGGTTAATGATTAACTTACAATTATTGTAAAATTCATTGTTTCTGGATCCGATCTCTTTATCTTTTCTTTTTACCACTGTGTACATCAACCTATTCCCCAAATCAGCCAATTCGTTGGACGATGCATAATGGAAATGAAGATCCATCCGTTATATTTTGTTAATCATCATATATTTTTGCTTATATTTTATCTTCTTATATGTTTAATGTATTTGTGTTGTAAAGTGTGTTTTTGTAATTGTAGGTACCCACTTATTAAGTAGACCAGTACCTAAGTATCCGTATCTTAAACCGTGCCCCATATTGCAATAAAAATGAAATGAAATTATTATGATCCTGTTATATTACATTATAAATTGCCCCCTTTTTTCGGCAATTAAGATGATTAAGACGAATAATTATAATTAAATTTAGAACTATTGTGTAAACATACGACAAATATAATATTGAAGAGGTGATACTACGGAGTGGGAACGGACGTGCCACTGTTGTAGGTGAGAAATGTGGAAGGCGGATGACATAAAGTTATTTAATTTATATTTGTAAACAATGATAAACCATTGCTAACGAAAAACAATTCGAGTGAAGCACATATTTTGAAAGGCCGCAATATTCACAATAAAAAATTTGATATTAAAATTCTTATATAGAAAAAAATAAAATATACTACCTATCTACATTAAACTTACCTTTTTTTTTTTTACCACTACTATGCGACCCAAAAGGTCGCTTGTGGTTTTTGATTGAAGCAATATTTCTAGCAGAAAACGTGCGTTAAAATTTATGATAATGAAATCGTACGCCGTAAATATGTTGGCTTTTCATTTTTCGTCTTTTTCCGGTTATGAAAACCATTTGGATAATTAAAAAACAACTTTATAATGTGAGAAACTAGACCGGAAATTCAGAAAGTCTCTTGTCGTTTTTCTATTGGAGCAATAGTTCTGGTGAAAAAACATAGTTCCAAGAAGGAAGTACTAAAATCACTGTCACTTTATTACTTAAAAGTCACTTTTTTGAGGTGCGGTATTTAAAATGCTGATTTATTCCCACTACTAGACCAATAATCGTTGAAGAAACTTTTCCCTCGATACCTACATACTTATCAATTATCATTCATACAAAACATTAATAATTCGGTTTTTATTATTTCAACATTTTTGTAAACAAGTTAATTTTTAAGCATAATATTATATAAAAACTGCTAAATACTAAACGCTGTAATTAGAATATCAAACAAAATTAATCATTTAACAGCGTAAAGCAAAATGTGTAATGCAATGCGGATAATTGACAGTTTTAAATGTAATAATTTATTACGATGGGTAATGTGGTTTTTTTTTAAAAATAAATAATGAAATAATAATTATTGTCACTTTTAAGCTATACATCACGTCATGCGCTATATTTGTGATAAATTTGCGCCATCTATTTAAATTGTAGCCAAATCTTTGAGTCCGACCGGGAAAATTTAAATCCATAAAATGTCGTCAAACACCATCAACTTAAATTGCCATTATCGGATTTAGTGGCGGCGTAAGAAATTGCATTGGTCAGATAGAATATTACGCATATAGGCACTAAAGAATTTAAGAAATAATTACAGGAACCAAGTATGGCGTACATTAGACGAAAGTTCAATTATCTATGTCTTAATTGTAATCTAATGTTGAAGAGGAATACCTACTGTTAAATGTTTTTCGCATTCTCTTTTCCCAAACATACATTAAACGGTATTTTTTATACAAGGAGAAATCAAATTTATAATAAATTAATATTTTTCGCAGCATGGAGTCTTTTTTTAATTTTTTTTTTCTATCTACAATACTAGTTTTTAACTATCTGTTAAAATGCATTTAAATTTAATTAATTGAATATCAAGCGACCGCCGACAAAAACATTTCCAAACGATGAAAATAGCGAGTTATATAATACGAACAAATATCGTTGACGTATAAAAATCAGTTTGAAAGCAGTTGACGTACAGATTAGAAGCCGATAAAAAATCGAATTTTACCCGGGTGTGCGATAACAATATTGTTATTGTTAATAGCGTTGTATTTATAATATGAAAGTAGTCTAAAATAAAAGTTTAAACTGAACAAAGTTCAATGAATACCATCACCGCAACCCACCGTATTATATTATTATATAGATATAGTATTCTATACTCCGTTTCAATAAGATGCGTCGATGGTTAAGTTTTTGTTTTGTGCGACACATATTTTTGTTTTCAATAACTTATAACATATATGCGAAACGAATCGTTTTAAATAATGCAAATTCATCATTTTTCCGCCATTAACCAAATTTCGTTTCGCTTACCTCGGGCTAGGAACAGCCGAACTAAGATATTGTAAAACTTCAGCTTGTGTAAACAATACAGATACCAAACTAAGTAATAAAAGCAGCAGTTGTTATGATGAAAAGTGCCAATATTTATCCCATAACAATTAAGACAAAGAACGAAAAGACCCAAGTGCTCATAAATAAAATTAGAAACTAGTTTTTTTAGAATTGTGTCAACAAAACGTGTGTGCAGGAAACAATTTGTTTAAATCTAATTTCAATTTTAAACTACGATTATTATGATTCTCCTGAAAGTCTTATGACAAATAATTAAACAAAATTAATAGTTTGTCCACTCTCTTAAAATCTAAAACTTCTAAATTAGTTTTTATTATTACAACAGGTTATTTGTAAATATCCTAAAATATCTTGTTAAATTTCAAACATAATAATTAATATAAAATAAATAATATCTTTATTGACTGTGTATATATTTATGATTTACTTAAGTTAATAACACGGAAATATTTAGTACTAGTTTAGAAATAATTCCTGGATAAAATTTAAATTTGTATTGAAGAAAGGAAAAGATAATCTAAAATTAGATCAGGTTGACTAAACCAAGTTGTGCACTAATGGAAAATAGATAAATATTGAAAAAATTAATCTCTTCGAACAAAACTATGTAAAATTATTTTTATTTTGTTGACAAAAGTATGACAATAATGTTAATAATAAATACTATTCTAGTATCTGTAATGATCAGGTTTGTAAGGCCCTTCAATTGGTATTCCAAGGTATTTAGATTGATCAGGAGTGAGTTTTGTCAACTTAACACCCAAGTGGTCTAAATGCAGAGCTGCTACTTCTTCGTCCAATTTTTTTGGTAAAACATACACATCATTTTGGTATTGATCCCTTTTGGTAAATAACTCAATTTGTGCCAGTACTTGATTAGTAAATGATGTACTCATGACAAATGATGAATGTCCAGTAGCACAACCCAAATTGACCAGTCTTCCTTCGGCTAAAAGAATAATATGTTTACCATTGGAAAGAGTGTAGCGATCTACTTGGGGTTTGATGTTTATCTTTTCAACGGCATTCTTTTCCAACCATGTTACTTCAATCTCACAATCAAAATGGCCAATATTACAAACTATAGCATCATCGGGCATATTTGGGAAATGTTCACCAGTAATGATACCCTTGCAACCAGTTGTTGTCACGTATATTTGTCCCTTATTACAAACTTCTTCCATAGTAGTAACTTCAAAACCAGCAATAGAAGCTTGAAGTGCATTGATTGGGTCAATTTCTGTGATTATAACACGACCGCCAAAAGCTTGCAAAGACATAGCACATCCTTTACCTACATCACCAAAACCAGCGACAACGCACACTTTTCCAGCAATCATAATGTCAGTTGCACGTTTTACACCATCAATAAGAGACTCACGACAACCGTACAAATTATCAAATTTACTTTTCGTAACAGAATCATTCACATTAATTGCTGGCATTTTCAAAATACCCTGTTTTTTCATTTTGTACAAATTGTGTACACCAGTAGTGGTCTCTTCAGATACTCCTTGGATCCCGTCCAAGTACTGAGGATACTTTTCATGAACTAATGTGGTCAAATCTCCACCATCATCTAAAATCATATTTAGGGGATTGCCATCTGGAAAAACTAAAGTTTGTTCAATACACCACGTGTATTCTTCTTCAGTCTCGCCTTTCCAGGCAAATACTGGAATGCCAGCTTTTGCAATAGCTGCAGCTGCATGATCTTGAGTACTGAAGATGTTACAGCTGGACCACTGTACTTCAGCACCTAATTCAACTAAGGTTTCAATAAGAACTGCTGTTTGAATAGTCATATGAAGACAACCAGCAATACGAGCTCCTTTGAGAATTTTGTTTGCTGCATATTTTTTACGTAATGACATTAAGCCGGGCATTTCTTTTTCAGCTAATATAATTTCTTTACGACCCCATTCTGCAAGAGATAAGTCTGCGACTTTGAAATTGTGCGTTAACCCGTTCTGCATTTTTCTTTTCTTTATGGACGAAATTTTGAATGTTATACACGCCTAAAAAAAATAAAAAATACATTGATGAATCATGATACAACTATTATAAAATTACACATTTCATTTTAATTTTTGGCCTAAAAATATTATACAATAAGTTAAAACTGAATGATTATAAATGAAGAATTAGAAATCTTCTTATTTATTTTACCTTATCAGTAACCTTTTTAAATTAAAATTAGACAGAAAAAATACATAGAATGTAAAGTCTGATCTTAGAATTATAGTAAACTATTAATGTTGTTGATTGCAAACAATTATGGCTTATTACAGTGGTGGTTATTCTTGAAGTAGGAGAGGGATAAAAACGTCCCTATATTTGCTATACAAAACCCATCTTAGTCACAAAGAAAATACCAATTTTTTAATTGCATATATGACCTATGACCCTAAATTAAAAGTCATAAAATTAATTGAAGATATAATAAATTCCGGAATTTGTAGTGTCTGATACTGTGAGGTTCATAAAATAAAATGTCCGTAACCCTATGGTAGGGTACTATATAATTGACATATTTATTTTTTAAAATACAATCTAGGCATAAGTACTATTACATTTAAATTCCGAAATTATACGGTCGAGTAAAATTACATTCTAGGATTATACAACCTTTTTTTATTCATACTAAATTATTACTAACATTGTTAAATTCGTTAAATTTTATTGTGATATTTAATATTTTTAAAATATTTTCATGCTCAATAATACTTAAAGCATAATCTTAAGGAGAATATTTTCAGAATATTCTTGTGTTCGGAAAATTCTCCATTCATGACACTAGTATTAAATTATAAAACGTCTATTTGATTATGAAAATGTTAATTTTACTTTTTATTGAGCAGTTCATCAATCATAGATGACTATTGGCATTTTTCAAATGTAGGTAAATAATAATTTAATACTATAAACTCATATCATTGGATTTGGCGATAGGTACTAAGTGTCCTTATTATTTCATGGCAATGATTGATAGAATCATGTAAATGTATTCAATTTTCATACAGCATATATATAACAGTGTTAGTGCTTAATAATATATATTTTTAAAATTATACAGCGAAGTTTAAATAATGGCACATACAGCTAATATCTTAAAAGTGTATAATTACTTATTTAATACACATCAACGGTGCTAGTGCTTTGAAAATTACATTAAATTAACATCAGGAAATATGCCACACTACACACCTATATAGTAAGTAATTTGTTAAAATATAATAAAATAAAAATAATTTGCTATGAAAACATTTATGTAGTGAATAAGGAAATAAAATAAACATAGTTAAAAAAAGATCTATCAAATTTTAAAAATGCAGAATAAATTAAATTTATTTAATATAAATGTTAAATATACTGATTAACCTGATTCATATAAAATACCTACCTACATAAATTAGAATGACCACAAAAAACAAAATTGTTTTTATTTCTTTAGTAGTTTCTAAATCTATAATTTATTGTAAAATTGTATAACACAACTACTTTGAAAGATTAAATATAAATTTAAATATGATAAAAACCAGGGGTCCTTAGTTATAAACAGGTTAGCAGAGGCGTACCCGAGGTGTGGATATCGGGTCCAGACACCCCTCCATAAATGTAGTAAATTCTTCTATAAATGTGTATATAGGCGTTTGACACTGTGTATCTATAACTATTATTAGTGTTATTAACAGTGATCCTTTGGTTATGAATTTAACTATAATTATAATTATTAGAGAAAAATTAAATTAAAAATAATAAACTATCCCCTCCCCCATGAAAATTTCAGGGTATGCCTTGGCAGGTTAGTACTCCTTTAATTGGAGTTTGGATGTTGTATTTCTGGAAAACATTTTTTAAATTACATTCAATCTATACATTTTATTTATAAATAATTATGTTTGATAGATATATAAATTAGGACCTGAATGACACGATGAATGGAAACCATTTAAAATTCTAAAACAACAGTAAATTTAAAACTATCAAAACGACTGAGGTACTTTTAGAATGTGTACTAGGTTAGGTTACATAATTTATTGTCAGGATAATCAACAAATTAAAAATAAAAGTACCAAACACATAATTTCTTATCGGAATCATAATAATTAATTTAGATATTAATATCTATAGACAAATTAAAAATAGTGAGATGACTCAATTTGATCCATTTCCTTTATGATAATATTAATTAAATATAAAATGAAATCAACTTATGATATTTTCATTACAAATAAAACATTTTAGAAAACAAAATATGAAAATATAATTTACAGTTTAATAAAATTATTAAAATAGCTAGATTAAAAGTATGCAATTGCACACACTTCTGCAATAAATGGTACACTAATGATAAAATTTGCTCATTGTTTGCACAACTTGATTGTTATTGTATATTTTTATCGCAGTCGTGGGGCAGCTACTCTTAAGAGTAGATTATGATTGTATTAAAAAATATCCTTACTTAACAAATGTATAGGTGTATACTGCTATCCTAAGAAAAAACACCGTAAATCAAAAAAAAAAAAAATTTAAAAAAATATTGTACTGTAATACATTCAGTATTATAGTTTTACACGTTTTACAAGTTTAAAAACCGTTATCCGTACAAATAAATGACTTGATAAAATAAAAATCAATTATAATGAGTTCAAAGTACCGAAAACAAATAATTTGTTTAAAAGTAACTAACTAGACCAAACAGCGTTAAATTAATATGGTTATACGTGTATTATCCTAAAAGATGTGATAAATTATTAATGTTGGTCATCAGTGAAGCGTTAACATTATAAGCGGAACTAGAGACCCCAGGTCTTCACCAGGTCGCTGACCTTATATGGGCAATTTAAAAATAGAAACAACTATAAAATACCCAAATTTTAGAATCTTTATAACCCAAAAACAAATGAATTCGGATAAACACTTTTGGCACCACAATTTTTAAAACGTTGAGAAATACAAGCGTTTTCGACAAAAAAATACGAAATTTTCGAAGAGATGCTACACTAGATTTATACCAACGCCACTATTAAATACCTGAACACGATCATATTAAAAATTTTGGAAATTTTTACGACTAGAGAAAATCGTTCAGGTTTGATCGATAATACAAATCAAACGAAAAATAAAAAAAAAAATTTTAAATTTCACATAGAAAATAAAATTAAAATAATCGATTGTACAAGATCAAATATAAGACTGCAGCTTTTTAAAATATGTAATTAGAATGTTTTGCTCAAACGACATTCAAAGGTGTATTTAAAATATAGAACTTTCATAGAATTACATTGAAGGTGAAAACATAACTTGTTTATTTTCGAACTTTTAAGCCTACGGTTTACACAGCGTGCGAAGGCGAAGAAATCAATAAAAGAGTTTCAATGCGAGCGCGTTACATTATCATTAGACACGCGGCGTAGGTACATAGATGCCCCTGTCAGTTGCTACACGAGGTATGCAAAACACCCGATGGTTATTTGTTTAACTTACCTAAGAGCGTTACAGACGGGGACAATCGTTGACAACTGGTGGTGTTGAAATAAGAGATCGGTGTAGTGCCGGACGTGTGGGCAACTGTTGACTGAATAACGATTACGGCGAGGGGCAATTATACAAGATAAACTAAAACCAATTTCGCTGACCGGCAAATTGACGGACCCGGAGAAACAGAGATAAGGGAGATCCGATGGCGTGATGTTAGCTAATATAACGTAATCGTTTGGTATGCGGGTATCGGGATCGTGTGATTGGCGACCGCATTTCTTTTGTTCGCTAACATCGATAGTTGTACAACGGTCCCAAAATATCGATAGTATAGCCTAGAGCCCTAGGAAATGTGGATGACTTCGTTGCTGTATTTTTTTTTTTTTTTCTATACAATTTCATTAACTACGTATTGTGTTTGTACTTTCGAATTCTCACGAATTTCAAATTTCAAATCTAGTTATGATAATATTAACTCATAGCTATTCGTTTTTATTTATTTGAAAAAATAGTAATCGAATCAAAATAGATAAGAAGTGATAATACTATCTAAATATCGGTTACAACCACGGTTAAAGAACGGAACAACCACGAAATCTTAGACCGTGGTTACAACCGAATCCTTCATGGTCACAACTATATTTACAGCCGTATGGTTAAATAGATAATTGACTTTGTTGAACATTATCAGCTGACGTTATCAGTTATAATTTCATCGTAATCATAGTATTTGTTTTCGCCAAAAACCGATTTGGAAACGAATAGAAATGTAAAAATTTAAACCGAATCTAATAATATTATTATTGTTATAACCGTCGGGCTCTTCTGCCAAGTCAGCCCGACACGATCAAAGTTATGCTTCCATCGGATTGGGCCATGAAGTTCATCATAGGCACGTCTCGGTGTTATGCCGTCAAAAATTGTAGATTATTGAATTTCGAAAATAGCACATATAAAAACCATAGATTTTTCAGGTATGTGCCAATTATAATATTAACTTAGTACTTACTTATGAATGTATTAAATGGTCGTCGTTTGCCCAGTCTATTTATTTCAATAAAGGTATTGATTTCTGTTAACTAGCCATATGTCTACAATAGTTTCAATACATTTTTTCTCACATTTAGACAATTAATTAGCATTTGGCAATAACAAACTATTATTCAAGGGATTTGTTTCTAAATAATGAGAGATTTTGTTGAGACATATTTATCTTTAGCCAAATATTTTACACCTTGTAATGATGTTTCCAATTCTTTATTTTGAACATAGTGTACCTATGTGGTCTTTTGAAGGTACCCATTGTTTACACCGATTTTATTAAGTATAACAATGTAATGTAATTTAAACCATTTTTTCTATTTACTGTTTGTGATCAAGAATAAGTTGTATGTGTTAAAAAAATTATTACTGTCTAGATACTTGTAATTATTAAACTAATCAAAAGTATTTTATTGCCTATAATTATTTTACATCACAGTCTAAAGAAAATTTAGTCAACACTGAATTTTTATTTTTTTAACATAATTAAAAAAATAAAAAAAACTAATACTTATTGTTCATACTAAATTTTTGTGATCCATGACTTCACCTTAATTACTTAGATAGGAATGCTTGTATTCATTAATCATCCATGTTTTAAAAATTGGATACAACCAGTCAAGATTAAACGAGAGATTAAAGCACAGCTGAATTGCTTTTATAGTTTTAAAATATAAGCAAATCAGGCATTACCTACTAAATTATTTTCGAGTTGCACAATCTTTTTTTATTACGTATCCTTTTTTTTGATCTGATGATATTTATTTTTCACTAGTTATAGTTACTTATACTTTATTTATATTTATTTATTTATTCGGATAATACTTCGTACTTTATGTCTATATTTACTCTACAGAATAAATAAGCTAGGTATTTGAATAGGCATTGTTGCACTATTGTACGTGGAAAGTTGGAAGAGTAAAATAATATAAAGGTTAATATAAATTTTGTTTATATAATGTATGTAAATCATTGCAAAATAAAACATTTCTGATCAAAGTTTAGGTAAACCTTCTTTTTTATAAATTAAATTCAAAAATTGTATTAATTTTTAATTACAAAATAAATTACAAATATTTGTGATTTTACAAGCCATCAAAATTTCAACTGAAGATCCTTAAAGAAAAAAAATAATCAACTGTGGTTTTTCAACATTTTAAAGCATGCATCATAATAAAACTAGTGTATAGGGATACACTAGTTTTTACTGCGCTCAACATCTAATAAATAATCCTAGGAATAATTTTTAAGAACTTAAGTTGGACAGGTTTTAAATTTAATGAATAACATTACCCATATGATTTTTTTTTATTTTTTTTTTAGGAATGCAGTGGTTTTGCAGTTACCGAATAAAGAAACATTGAAAACGGATACTAAACTTCCTGTAGTTCCACCTTATATAAGTGCTAAAAATGTTCACAATGTTAATCAGAGTTTATCCAATGAAAAGAAAAAAGATAGCTCACCTAATAATGTTAAGCAGATAAATACATTAAATGAACGCAAAATGAATGATCCAAAGATTTTGGATGACAGTACTTTTACATTGCGATTGATTAATAGAATTCAACATCTATCACCATCAACTGCAAAATACGCAAGACTGAGTATTTTTGGATGTAAAGTTAGTATTAATATATTTATATAAATAAATTATAACAATAATTTAAACATATTTGGTTATTTTTGATTTCAGTATCTATATAAAGATATTATAGTTTTATTGTCAGCTTATAAAAAAAGTTTCTTTACTGATTTGTCTGCATTGACTTATGCTGAATTGGAATTGAAGTATAGACTGCCATTACAACTAGTTCGGTTGACACCAATCTTACTCTGCTGGCCAGTACCTTTTACTAATTTTTTATTGTTTCCACTAGCGTAAGTTGAAATATTTTATTTATCTAAATTACATTCTAATATATCATACATGTTGATACATATGAAAACATATGAGTGACATTATAGAATTAATGGATTAACCATTTTATCCCATTATTACCATATATACCATTAAATGTACACATATTGTGTACATTTAATGAAATATCAAGCTAAATTTTAATTAATTTAATATAATTTTAGATTTATGCTTCCTAAATATTTGTTGTCTGAGCATTTTTGGACAGATGAGCAATTAAAAGAGTTTTGGACAAAAGATTTACAGAACAATTTTGAACATAATGTCAGAGTTTTTGAGTATGGTTATTTTAATTAATCTTTATATATATATATATATACATATAAAAAAAAAAAACAATAATAATAATAATATTAAAAAGAAATAACAGAATTTGCAAATATGTGGTTATAAATGTTTGTACTGTTGCATTTATACTACATTAAATATTTAAAAAGATAAGACAAGTTTAATTTATATGTTTATAGGCATCTGAGTTTGATGGCTGAAGAATGTTCAGATGAAATGCTATTGAAATGGTTTCGTGTGATTGAATGTCTCGGAGCAGGAGGCATATCTCCAGTGGATGACATTATACAAGCTATACCAGTGTTTACTATGTATCCGTATCATTTTAGCACTTTACCACGTCAACATATTGTATGTTTTTTTCAATACCTATTGAACTATTTATTGATGTATTATTATTATTTATTTTCTATAGACGGTACTATTGAAAATGTATAACATGCACCGTGGATGGAGAAGAAGAGTGAGATTAAAGAAATTAGCACACTTTATACAATTTATGGATAAAGCAATAGAATCTGAAGGTGGACCAAATAAATTAAATGACAAACAATTACAATGGGTGTGTTATTTAATATTATATTTGTAGTGAAGAAGTTATTTTTAATTTGTATATAGGACTGAACTAGGGATTATGCAATTAAGTGTTTTGAAATATTAATGATTGATGGACCAATTATTAGTTGACAATTATTGAAAATATTTGGTTTTTCAATTAATTGGATAATTGAATATAACTAAAAATTGATTATAATTGATTAACTATATTAATTTAACAATGAAATGTTAAATACATCTTATAATTAAAAAAAAAAAAAAAAAAAAAACAAGCTTAATAACATTTGTTATTCTCATTAAACAATACACATATAATGTATGGAATAATATGATTACCTTACTTAATATAACATGTACAATACAAATCTTGCAATAGATAAGATGGTAATTTGTCATTTGTTTGATAGTTTAGGAGTTTATGACTAAGTAGACAGTTAAACTTTATATTAATTTATTTAAAATCTTATGATATTTGATTTTCAACTTATTTACTATTCACAATTTAAATCACTATCTTTCATACAAAATCTTGATGTACCACTTTGATTATTCCTTTTCTTTTTAACCAGTTTGCAGTATGTTAACTATATTATTTTTAAAACGTATCCAATATAGATAAATTATAAAAAATACAGTTTTAGTAGTTTTGTATTTTCACTATTATAAATTGTTTTAAATAAAAATATACAATTAATTTATTCCATTAAACATTAAATTTGTATAATTTTAATTTTTTTTCACAATATTAAGTTTTTTAAATTAGTTTAAAGCAAAATCTAGATTATTTTATTTAAAAGAGTAAAAATTATATTTAGGTTAAACATTTTTGTATTAAAATAACTGAAAGATTTGTAGAAATAATAATATGCATTGTTTTTACTGATGACGTTTTATTATATATTTTAGGCTTGTCTCTTCAGAGGGTTAAATCCTTTTTCATCGTCCAGAGAAACTCTTGTCTTGTACATAGAAGACTGGATAAAGATCTCCTCCAAAATTGATTATGATTCACTCAGCTGTATACTTCATTGCCAGGTTTTGTTGGCCTTAAATCGATCAGAAAACAATATGTTCAGAAAGACAGAATAATAATTTAAAAAAAGAAAACTAATTATCGATTAAAACCTAGACAGAATAAAACTATTTTAATGAATGCACTATAATAAAATCTAGTCTGTTCTTTTATTTTGTAGTATTTAAATCAATATTTTATGAGAAAACTATTGATTGACACACATATTCAGTGGTGTGAATAACATTCTGTCTTGGTGATATTTTATTTTTTTACATTGTAACATTGTTAAGTAAATAGTATTTTCAAATTTAATATTATTTAATTGTATTTTTATAGTGAATTTTTATATATGATTTGTTAATTTATATATAATTATGAGCTTGAAAATGTTTGAATCGATTTGAAAATATAATTTGTTTGGAAAAAATGTGGCCGATTATTTAAGTTACAATTCAAATTATTCAAATTTGAATTCTTTTTCTCCTTATATTAGCTTTGAAAACACATCTGTCTCTTTATTGCGAAAAATAATAAATTATTTTTTAGTTAAGAATATAATATGAAAATATGCAATAATGTTTGTTGGCTTTGTATTAAATGTTTTGTTTAATGTTTTAATTATTACAATATTAATATAGTCTGCGGTTATTGCATAGTAACCATACCTATATGTTGTTATAAAACAGTTAATACGTATATTAGTTATACAAAAAAACTATAAATACTCAAGAATTACAAACTAATAGAATTGGTATAACGAATACATTTTTTTTAAATTGCACGTCATGGACAGAAAAACATGTGCTTGTATGGAAGATCCGGGAGTAGATGCAAATAATTACATATCAATCAAAATTCACAATGAGTAATGTATTTTATTATAAAATCCAGAAGCATTATTTATTTATATTATTAGTATTAAAAATTATAATATTTATCTACTTGAGAACAATACCCAATCGTCAAACGTTTCTACCATACATATAACATTATACGATATACTTTTTACTATTTTTGTGTGTAGGTAGGAACCTAAACATAAAAAAAAATATTTTTGTTATGTTAATTGATTTAAATCTTTCTCGTAGTTTTATAAATTATCAAAATAAGAATAACTATTTATATTGACACGTTAAAAATGCAACACAATGTATATATATATTTACGCACTGAGATATTGTCAGTCCCTCGATAATTTATTATTATTATTATTAAAATAATTGATTTTTGTAACAAAATAGTTTTAGGCACCTATACTTAACTTAATACATCTATGACCAGGGCTGGATCAAGGGAGTGACTTAGGGTAGCTAGTTGAAGAAGGGTCACAAAATGTTTTTTTTTGTTGATGACCTTCATTTTTGCTCGTCGATCTTACGAATATTAGAACATTATACAAATCCTTTGCTGATGACTTTTTTTTTTTTTCTCTTTTTGGCCTCGGGTCTTCATTACCCATAATCTGACCTTGTCTACGATCTAGGTATCTATATCTAATTATGTCTTAATGAAATATAATTGAAAAGTGTTACGGAAGAATAGAAAATTAGAAATTATTAGGTATATAATTAATACTACTATAGGTATGATATAAATACCCTGGTGAAATATAATTGTTAGTGTTTTTTTTTTTTTTTTCATAACGTTCCAAATGATACATTAAGTACTTTCTACTTATAATAATGACATTATTATAGTTTTGAATGTTTCGATCGAAAGTTCACCACTGGGGTACCTCAGTATCTACCTACCGTTTCGGATAGATCGCGCTGTACGAATTGTGAAAGCGTATTTACGCGGTTGTTGGAACTCAATCTTTCTCATGTTTATTGAATGTTCCTCCCTACGCGAAAAATAATTTTGTCCCTTTCCCCCCCCCCCAAAAAGCGAAATAAGACAATAATAATACATAGGTAGGTGCGTAAAATTTATGACGCGCGTGTTGAAATAATATCTAAATAATAATAACACCCACCACACATCGGTAACACATTTATCGCCAAGTTTTCGCGTGCGAAATATTTTTCGAATTTCGTTCGTTGATATTACAATTATAGGCAGGCACGGAAATGTGAAACCGAAACGATCATTTGGGTGGGTATCTACCGTGAAACGTACAAACCCTACGGCCATATCATTACAGATGGGCGGGTACTCGCCCGAGCGGTCGCGGATCGTGTGCCGCCGGGACGTTTCCCGGCGGGCCGGATCCCGGTTACGAACCAATGACAGGGCCTGCCCGTCATAAGACTGATTTTGTACTTCGACGTTTGTTGTTTTTTTTTTTTTTTTTGTAATTTTTACAAACATTATTTTTCGATAACGTATTTTGTATTTTTTTTATTACCCACCACCTGCCCGTGACGTACCGTACGCATCTTCGTCTCCGGTGACGAGCAGCGAAAAACGATCGCCGATTACGGCGTTGACACACGGTTGCCGGACGAACCACGCGACAAGGCGGGTAAACGTGCGTCGTGCCCGCAGCCGACGCGTGTAACACAAACGATTATTGGGCCGGCGAGGCCGAAATTCTCCGCGGGGGGAGGGGGAGGGGGCGGTCGAAATCCGGAACGCGCCGTTGGCACCCGCGCGCATTACCTCCTGCCCCTCTGTTCGGATTGCGCGGCGGTTGTTAATTACAATCACGTCGAGGAAACTGTCCGCGACTGAACGGGCGCTGTGTCCGAGAAACGATTCAAATGCCGTCGACCATCGAGAAACTGTGCGCCAACAACATTATCGTTGTCCGTCCGTGCCCGGTGAATTTTTCACGGGTGTCCCTCGGCCGTTTTACGGGCAAATTAAAAACGCCCATGAAAACAGTGTCGGCATGCGAAGGCGGCTGTGAACGTTGTCACAGCACGCGTGACGATACCGCGCGACGGGCGCCCGAGCTCCTCACGGCGAGCGTCCGGGTTCCCGGGGTCGTCGAGGGTTACCGGGCGAGCGGACGCAACGGCGGAAAATTAATACGTCGGGTTTGCGATCGAATTTCAAGAACAAGACCCGCGCCGCCGCGTAACCGCGCAACGGTAATTACTCGCGCGACCGACGGGGAAATTGTTCCCCCCCCCCACCCCCACTCTCAATCTTTATATTGAATCGATTTCTGTTATCTTTTATCCCCCTCGACGTACATATAAAAACGTCGTTATTGGGCATTTTCTCGAACCATCGTTTTCCGCGGTATCGCGACACATACTACGTCAACGAGAACGTGTATCGTTTTACTTTACGCAACGTTTTTTTTTTTTTTTTTCCCATACACAAATCGATCTCATCGTCACGGAACGTCACTCCGCCTTTTGATGTTGTATTTTTCAGTCATTACGGAAAGTATCTACTCAAGTGCCTCCTGTACCAGGAATTCCTATACGCTGTACGGTATAGTAATACGGCGACTGAAAATGAATACGTTTCACTTGCGCGTATTAAAAAAAAAAAAAAAAGTCGTCTTTCTCGACGAAACGTACAAAAGGTTTTTTTCCCCTCTAAAACCCCAAGATCCCGGAGAATATTAGACGATTTTGTGTTGTAATTTATCATTATTACCGATCTATCTATCTGTTATTATCATTATCATTCGTTAATGTTAAACTTTATACATTTTTTGCTATACCAACGGTGGTAAAGATAAAAAAAAAAAAAAACCATCAAATACGCAATTATAATAACAAATACCCAACGGATTAGCAAATAATGTAACGACCCGGAGTCGAATTTTTTCGAAGGGCGTCGTAGTGTTATTTCCATTGTGTATTGGTATTGCTAGAAAAACGATAAGACAACGGATATTTATGCGGAATAAAAAACCCGAAAAATGTAATTTAAAAAAAATATAATATTATAAGGGTTCGCACCTCGGGGACCTAACCTTGGGCGTCGTCGACGTGTGTCGACTCTAACAGCCTGTCCGGCTGGTTAAGAGGACGTTATACCCGCATCTACCGTCTCGGTCTACTACCGGGTAACATACAAAAACAATCCTTACGCGGAACAAGTAAATCTAGCTTGATTTTGACTTTAGAATAAGAGTACCTATTATGAAATGTATTGAGTACGATATTTTGCAGGAAACGTCATAGGTGTTTTTTTGAATTACGGTTCGTTAAAAATGTCACAGTTATTCGAAGAAGAAAAAAAAAACAACAAACGGTTTTTGTATCTTTTATATCGAACTGTATATTTCGGATAACACGAAAACCCTGGGACGTTCCCACCGAAATGTCGTTCGCTATAAATTTCACAGCATGCACTTTTCCTCTAATATCAAAACTGGGCTAGTTTCACTTATTCTGCATTGTTTTTGCGTGTCACCCGGTAGTTGGACTGAGACGGAGTAGATGCGGGTGTACAACGTCGGACTTGGAGTCGTTAGTCTGGAGGTGTCTACGTCATACGTGAAACGCGGGAGCAAAGGGGCCGAAACGGAATATTGTGTAGTCATCAGTCAGAGCCGTTAGATGGGGTGGAAGACTTTTAAATCCCCTCTGTCGTTTTCGCTAGCGGTGTTTCTTTTTCAGGGCTTTTTCGCTGGTTCCGAGTGCGTGTAAATCCGTTTCCCGGCGACACGATGTTTTAATAACGCGCTAATGAATATCACTCCAAAAATACAAGTACAGCGATTATTTTAAAAAACGGCACAGACACGAAAGAATAGAGCTCTGGCATTTGGTCGTGTCGGATAATATTATCATAATATTCTGCCGGCGTCTTTTGTTATGATAATTTTATGCGTTAAATAATTCGGTAGTTTTTCTAATTCAAACTATCCGCTTCGTCGGCGTCAAATGCACCATATAGGTAGTGTTACTATAAAGTTGTTGTGGGTGCGACGAGTTGTGAATTTCGAATTTATTGATTATCTCGCAGCCAACTGTGTAAACGCGTATACGGAGTAGGACACGATAAACTATTCACCCTCCCCCATTATAACATACTACTGTAGTAAGGTACATACATAATGGTATGTGAATAATTATTTTTGAATTCGCGTTAAAAGCGTTGGCTTTGGAAAATCACAATTTGTTTTAATATTATTACGCTTTGTCTATCGTAAAAACGGGCCGAGTACGCGGCAAACAAACGCCGTTATTAGTACAGTGGTTTAATATATTTTGTTTCAGTATAGATACAAGCCAGCTCGCGAACATTTTTACCGGGCAATTTGAAAATACTAACACCGTATACTTACGCAGAGGTGCGCGCACCGACTTTTAATTAGAATCATGTGAACACTTATCAACGTGTCGCGTTTCACCAACGGCCAATCGAATTTCGACGTACACGTTTTAACGCGTCACGTTGATATTGCATTTTAAAATATGCAAGGGGATTGGCTGTCGGTCTTTTCGGCGTTTTCTTCAATTTTTGTATAATTCGAAATTTCTTCGATTGATTATGTAACTATTGAAACTATTATAATTGAATATTATCATATTTCAATAACAAGGCGGACGGCGATTACCACAATGTACTTAACTTATAACTAATAATTACACAATATACTCACTTTACTTCGGTATTTTAATCTTAACATTGTTTCACGCGTTATACTGTAGTACGCCATCATAATATCATAACCATTGATTAAAATATAACGCTATTGATTTATCAATATTTCAGTCTAGAGAAAAGAGTTTTCTGCAAGACTGCCAAAAGACACTCTGTTGTCGGCACCGTTAAAGATTTTAGATGTGCCTGCAAATGTGACGGTCTGATAACTTTGGACGGAGTAGTGGCCATGAAAGATCCACAAAAACCCCACACGTTCGTAAGGATCGTTTGCCCAAATGCGCCCCCCAGCAATAAATGTGAAAGGAAAAAATCGAAATAATATACACGGAAAAATCGGTTCAATTAGCCTTGGGCACCGAGGAACGGACGACAAAATTATTGCGTGTACATTTGAATACAAATAAATTAAAACATTCGAAATTGATTATATTATCGTTATTTTTTGTTTTTTTTTTTTTTTTATCACTTTGAAAGGCTTCAACATGATTGAGCGTAAAATATCTGTTCACGTGAGCTGTTCCATGAGCTTTCGCAATTTTTTTATTTGACGGGTGTCTCTTTGCATAGTTATCTTATTTTACATCATCAGTGTAAGCCTATTCAAGTATTTGACGATTAAAAACCACATTACAGATATCCTGTTGTTTTAAACAATCGTCGCGACTTGTTGTTTCAATAATCCGATTGGTTTTCAACGTTTTATTGTTTAATACACGGGTACCGAGACATTTTGTTTTGATAACGCGGTTATTTATCCATAGCGGCTTCTACTGCTGTATCCACATTTTTTTTTTTACAACACAATCGAGCATACATTTGTCGGAGGGTTAGATGATACGGAGGATATTTTCCCAGCTTAACAATTGAGCATTTTTTGAATTACCTATATCATACAACAAATACGGAAACAAATGAATTAATAAATCAAAATAACTGAATGGTTATATATCGAATTTATAAGAAATAATCAGAAATCAGAAAATATCAGAAATAATAATAATAATGGTAGGTAGTTTCAATAAATTGAAAAAAAAAAAAAATTAAAGATCAAATTGTTATACCTACATTGAAAATATCTGATTACGAATTAATCGGGGATGAAGGACGATAGGTATTCAGTGCGTTAAGAATAATTTCTATCTGTCATTAAGTTGACGAGCATATTAGGACATAGGTGGGTACATGCGGTTCAAACCGATCGGTATGAAATTTTCAGTAAAATACAGTGCTTAATTTGAAATAGCGTTTAGTTTGTATTTCATAGCAATTGATTCAGAAGACGAAAAGATTTGCGAATTCAAAGTTTTCGGAAATTCATTTACATTGTCCGGGATTCAGTAAAATTAAAAAAAAAAAAAAAAAAGAAAGAAACAAAGAAAAGAAGTGTAATGTCTCTGCGCGCGATTGACAGATTTTAATAGAAGATACGGACACACTTCACACGATGGGCACTGTTGCGGGTGGGTCGTTGGGAAGGTAGAGGGGAAATTGAATGTACATATGTGTGCAATGATTAACCGTTGCCAACGAAAAACGATTAAGAGCGGAATTCGGTTGATAGTGTCGCTTTGTCAACAATGTATATGTCATATTGTGGTAAAATAATATGCATTATATATTTTCTTTAATAGTATTGTACTTATTTTACCGGTTTTCGTACGGTTTTTTTTTCCGGTTTTTCCCATTTATTATGAAAACAGTTGGGAAAATAAAAAAATGACATTCTCAAATGGGTATCAACCCATCAGTCAAATTTCATCTCGGAAAAAATGCTACACTTGAAAATCGGAGCGAAATTGCTCGTAGACAAGTTGTTTACATGCTTGTGAAATCAATACATCACTGCAAATTCCGCTCAGAATCTAAAACCGAGTACATCGTACACGTATTATGAACCATGATCTGGGAAAAAATCCTGTATGTAGGCGATAAGCCCACACAACTCCTCCGTATGGGTGCTCAAATTTGGATTTCGGACTTTTTACTATTTTTCAGATTCCGAGCGTAGAGATGGAACTATTGGTTATACAATGCTGTTTATTTATTATTATTTTTTTCTAATAAACTTGCTCCGATATATAAGTGCAACACATTTTCTGAAAGCTTAACTTGTCTATATTGTACTTTAATGAGGTTGTTTTTTTAAATTTTGAAGTCATTTTTTAAATAAAAGTACTTGAGTGGGAAAAAAACGTTAGAAAACGTACAATTTCACGATTTTATTATTTTATAAAAATACGGATGACGGTTTTTACCAGAAAAAATGATTCAATTGAAAAATCACAAGACACCTCTTTTTAGTTGTCTATTTGGTTTACTTTCTTACGGAGTCATCGCCAAAACTTTTAAGCCACTTTTGAGCTTTTAAGGAATTTTAATTTTTGGGAGTTTTTTTTGCTGTAATTTGGTTATAAATACGCGTAAAGACTTGAAACTTGGTAATAATACTTATATTGAACTTGACTAGACGTGGTCAAATTTTTAAAAATCACCGGTCTACTTTTTTATTTAATAAGCGTTTTGAACTCAAATTTAAATGAAAATCGCAAAAAAAAATTACGGCACTTTAAATTATTTATTGCCGGACTGCGCTTACGATGGTTTATCGTTGCTTACAGATATAAATGAAATAACCTTATGTATCCCACCTTCCCAACTTCTCACCTAAAACAGTTAACGCTCCCATCCTCAGTATTAGCTTTTTTTTTTTTTTAAATTATTATCATGTTATTGATTTTCGGTTTTCCTTGGTTACAAGACGTAAAAACGCCAATTTTCAGCACACAACGACCGGATTAGATTCACTTTTTGAAGAGAACCTTTTTATTCGTTATGTATAAAATATATCCATTTTTAGAAGTAGGTTTAAGTGTTGCATACTTAGGGTAGATAATAAATAATATTTACTCATTTTGTGGACATAATCACACGTACCTACAATAATAAATCCGATTTAATATAGTTTAACTACTAGTTGAAACGCTATATGGATGTTAGGTATACTAATAGTATTACACAATATATCTCTAGATTGATTACTACCTACAAAAAAAAAAAAAAAAGATAATATTATCAAATACGCATCGAGTGAATGATTATCAGAAAAAATAAAATTAATGATTTTTTTTTTTCGTAATGGGTTATTTTAGATGGGTTTTTAATTTGATACTACGTCAAACTATCAGTTTTACCTCGTCGATCTTATTTCCTATTGTCCAATCATTGTGCGGCAAGAAGAAAACTTAATTTTTTTTTTTTTGTAGAACTTTTGTTTTATTTATATAGGTACTCTTGTATCTTTGATATTTCATACATGTGAAATAAAACTGAGATGATACTTTATTGAAGACTTATTATAGTGCTATAATAACAAAATAAACGATTAACCCTGTTCGAGTATTTTTGAGAATTCAAAACAAAATTGATCCGCATAAAACTGTTAACAAAATAAAAATTAAAAACCCAGAAAATTTTAAATAGTTCTTGGCCACCGTGTAAAAAGTGACCAAGTTAATGAGTTACGAATATTTCGTAAATATTTCAGTTTTACTCCGATTTTCCCCTATATTATTATACCATTAGGGAAATAAAAAATAACCTCCTCATAACACTTGTTAAAACGATTTCGATACCAAAAACCGAAATACTGAAATCGGAGCAAGATTTTTGGTGGTAAAGTTGTTTATAGAGAGACAAAAATAAAAAGCCCGCATCATATAATAAAACGTATACGAGAATCTAAAATGCGTAACGAAATATAGAACAATAAACACTGAACCGTACTCTATTCTGAATGGTTTTCAAATGGGATCGCTGCAGTGCACCTTCCCGGCACCGAATGTTTAGTGTCCTATTAATATTCAATACCTGTATCCAGAACTTTGGGGAAGCATTTTCGTTACCGTGTATTTCTTGTGCCCTGTTCTGTATCCAATCGATTCTAAATAATTATTATCCGAAGCAATTTTAAACCGTTTTCGTATTCTCATATTTCGGTCCTTAAATCTACCATCCCTTGCCGACCTTTCACGTCTATACGACCCTTTTAATCTTCTGGGTTGAGTATAGCGAAATGAGACCATTATTTCTATAGGTACTTCATGATTGAGTTTTTCTTTTTTTTTTCCTTGCCGATAAAATAATGAATATTTTGTTACATAAGCATATATGTATTTCTAGTTGTATAATTTATATTAAAAAAAAAAAAAACTGAAAAAAAGATTAAAATTTTACACAACGCCCATGTTCATACCGATTAGACGCTCGGAGGTTCTTACCACTACGGTATTTTTTTCCGTTGTTCGACCATTTAACCAAAATAAACAGATACTTATGATAATGACTGCAATAGCGGAAAACTATGTATTTGAATAATACAGAAAAAGTAATATTCATATTTTATAAGTGTTTAATAATTTATGTATATTATGTATTATATTTAGTTTCCACTTGGAATACAATATATGTATTTACATAAATAAAAGTTCTAACTAGAAGAATTTTTTTTTTTTCAAAAAGAAAGCAATATAAACAAATCACGGGCTTATTACTATCATGATAATCGGATATCTGTAAATACTGTTCGGGTATTATAAGTAATATATTATGATTTATGTATTTACAATGCAGATGTCTATATTAATTTAATATTCATGAAAATGTAGTCAAGATTATTCGGGTTATAAATGGTCGGGCCTTGGGCACGTATCAAAAGAAGTAAATATTGGTAAAGTAATGTGTATTGAATTATAGAAAGGTACCAGAAAGTTCAACAGTGTGACCAACGTTTAATAATACTTATTAATATTATAGTAGTTGGGTGTTTTAAATATTCCAGCATCCCTAATCAAAGGTTAATATATTCCACGTTTGGAAATTAAAAATTCGTTATAAAATTGCGTTATTGTAATTAAATTTACATAAAATTGATTTTTTTTTTTTTTTAATTTGGTATATCTGTTATAGGCAGGTACGGTTTTTACTGAAAATGGGTCATTCTGCTCTTAATTAACATTTAACCTACATTCGTTTACGCTTGGCTATAAGAGAGGCCTCTATAGATTTTTACATTTTATTTTGCATGTGCGTATAGAAGAATAACCAATGCAAATTAATAAATATTGCAAGAATGTTAACATTAAATTGTTCATCTTAATATTCATAACTCGACCGATGCAGATTAAGATATGGATTATTTAAATGATAATAATATGATTGTTGTTGTAATTAGTAATAAATAGTTTCGGATGATATATAAAAGGATAATTTATTCGAAAATATGTACAGGTGTTCCATTTAAGTGGGTACACTCATTATCTC